GGGAGGGAGAGAGAGGGAGGGAGAGAAGGAGGCAGGAAGGAAGGAAGGAAGGGTGGGAGGGAGGGAGGGCAGGCAGGGAGTAGGAGGGAAGGAAAGAGGGAAGGGGAGGGAGGGGAGAAGGGAGAGGGAAATGCATATATAAATTTATGACGGAGTTTAATGTGCCCATTTGGTTACCCAGATGTATTGCTGAGAAGGTGATGCTTTCACTGGAAGGTCAGGGAAAACTGCTTGGTTTCTCAGTTTCCCCAAAGATATTTGTCTCCAAAAGACCAAATAAAAAAATTTGTGTCGATGATATAGATTCAAACAAGCACAGATTTTGAAAGCTGGAAACTGTTCAAGACTTCCTTGCACAACTGTACAAGACTTTTTTGCCCAGGCCTCCTGTCGAGACCAGCCCAGAGGCATTCAAAGTGCAGACAGCGTCACCCATCGTCTTGGAAACTGAGGAGCCTTCGCCCAGAACCATGGGCTTAATATGGTGGTGATGTCACTTCATCCTGTGCTCCTGGACAGCACCTATCACTCAAGGCATGAAGAGGACTGACATTTACAAGTCACTCACTCTTAACAGACAGCATCTCAACCACCTCATGAAGAAATTGAGCATCGGGGAAGCAAGGGTCACCCAGCCAGTGGTGTGACAGAGCCAGAACCCGGCTCTGCCTAAGTCCTCACACTTATTACCCCACACCCCAAAGCTCCAACAGTAGGTCCCGTGTTCCTAGCTCAGCATATAGCAAATCCTATGGCCGCACGCTCTTTATCTCTGGCTAGTAAAGGATCACATCTCCCATTGCTTCAGGCACCTGCACTCCCACAGTGCAAGTGCTTAAGCAAATGTCCTTGGCTGGCTGGGCGACAAAGGTAGGCAGCCTGGTAGAGAGCCCAGGACTGGGGACTGGGAGCCCTATGGCACATTCAGTCCTGACTACGAACTAGATGGAGTTTTAGCTGAGCACTTCTCCTCTCATACGTGCCAAATCTGTGCGCGGACTCAGTCTAACATGACACATCTGGATTCTCTTGATTAACCAACACACCCGCACGCACCAGGTGCCTCGAGTCCTACCTGCTTTTTACTCTTTCCCTCGCGGACTCCCACGCAAGATCGCAGAATTCCTTCTCACCGGAAGGAAGAGAAATCTCTTTGAGGTCACTTGCTTTGTAGCCGTTTGTTTTATATGAGCTTGACTGAATTCTTTTCAGATGTGACTCTATTTTATCTCTGGTGGTTTTGCAAGCACCTTAGAATATAAAATCATGGCAGCAGGCCTGTCGTGTTAATTCATGCTAAACTTCGGGCTGTATGCACTAAAATTCCTATGACTGTTACTTATTGAATCCTTGTGTTTTATGTTGGAATAAAAAAATGTGAGAACGGGCCAAAAATGTCTAGATCTAAAAGTGGTATAAAACGGAATAGGACCTGAAATGTACTGTAAAGACCAAAAACAAGCTGTATTGTGGGTCATTTATGGCTAGTTTGTGGGGAGCCCAGCTCGGTCATGGTGGGGAATCTCCACGGTGTCACTGGCACTGATCTTGCTGGGTGGAAGTTCACACATTTCATGTCGTGAGCCAATGTTTGTGAATACTAAAATGAAAACGTAGACCCCTGATTTTGGAAGTATGTACTCCGTGGCAGACCAGCTCAGAGGACCCAGAGGAGCAGTACAGTTAGGAAAAGGGAGAATGTGAAGGGGAAAAGAAAAGGGGAAAAGTGTGAGGTTCTACGTTATACATTGTCCCCGGGGGGACGGAAATGGTACCACCTCTGTGGAAAACAGTTTGGTGGCTGCTAAACATAAAAATCCTGTATTACCCAGTAGTTCCACTCCAAGGTATATGCCCCCAAATTTGAAAATAGAGACCCAGACAGAGACCTGTGTGCCAACATTCATGGCAGGGTTATTCACAACAGCCGAAGGGGAAAAACAACCACGTGTCCGTCAACACCTAAATGGATAAACAAACTCTGATATGCAGTCTGTGTAACACACGCACACACACGAGGTGAGACAATTAACCAACTCATCCTAGACAAAGTGCCACATACCTCATTGCTGAGCATCACCATGGTCACCTTCAAAGTACTCCCCTTGGGAAGCTCTGCACCGATGCCAGCGCCTAGCACTCTTCAGAGCACTTTTTCCAGGATGAGTCTGTGAACTTGATTGCCATGCCTTGTATGACAATAGCTCTGACGGCCGTTCCAGGAAAAGAGTTTCAAAGTTGCTTTGAAGGGTGAACGAGGCACTGGAATTGGTGCATAGCTTCCCAAGGGGAGCACTTCAGAGGTGACCATAGGGATATTTAGCAATGAGGCATGAAGCACTTTTTCTAGGACGAGTTCACAAACTTAATAGTCCAACCTCATGTCTGTGTGTGTGTGTCTCTCTATGTAATACGTGCGTGTGCTTATATGTACAGTCTGTATAATGCATAATAGAATATTATTCAGCCATAAGAAAGATCAGTATTGCGTGGATCCACTTACATGAAATACCTAGAAAAGGCAAATTCATAGAAGCAGAAAGTGGCTTGGAGGTCACCAGGGGCTGAGGTCAGGGGGACTAGGAAGTTAGTGCTTAATGGGACAGAGTTTCTGTTTGGGGGTCATAAAAATGTTGGGGAAAGAGAGATGGAGATGGCTGAGCAACACTGGGAACATAATCGGTGTGTCACTGAATTGCACATTGAAAAAACAGTAGAGGTAGTAAATTTCATGTCATAGATGCTTCACCACAATTTAAAATAAAACGCTGGAACACAGAGGAGAGGAGAACTAAAAACACCCAGAGAGGTATCTGAAAAAATGTTTGGGGATTCTTGATTTATTTCATTGTTAAACTGCTCATGCTGTGTAATGTGTTCAAAGAATACAAATAACGTTAGTGATTATAGAATATCAATGTCTGTCTTTAAAGCATTAAAGATTTTTTTCCAACTTAGAAGAAGGTGGCTGGGAGGAGGAGAGGTAATGAGGTTCCAGTGGAGAAAACTAGGGGACATTTGGGAAAATAAGCACTACAGTGGGGCTTGGTACAGGAGGAGTTGGAATTTAGAATTCAAGGAGCCAGGGCAGATGGTTTCTCCTCCCTCCCAGCGTGAATTGTTCCCTCCCTTTCTAATTGTTCTAGTCAGAACTTTATCCTTCATCCGCCGGAGTACACTGAAACGCAGTGCAAACAAAGTTAGCTAGGTAGTGAGAAAGTTTAAATTTAGAGGATGTGGCACAATGGTTAAAACTAACCTGAGGGACAGCAACACCCAGAGCAGTGAGGCTGTGCCGAGGAGTCAAAGGATTCTGCTTCTGGAACTGGCCGAGAGGGAACCAGGAGTCGAGACTTCCTGTCGCTTTGTGTACAGAATGATAGCGTTTCCGAGGATCGCCATTCTAATGCTCTTCATCCACGGTGGCAGCAAAGTAGTAACAGGATAGATAAAAGGTAAAGGGAAGGGAGAGAGACAGAGAAGGAAAAAATAAGGACAGATGAGAAAAGTTACAAACAGGGGCGGTGCCTGTGGCTCAAAGGAGTGGGGCAAAGGCCCCGTGTGGGGGGTGGCGGGTTCAAACCCAGCCCAGACCAAAAAAAAAAAAAAAAAAAAAAAATTACAAACAAACTGCTTTATATGGGCAGATAAAATATGTAAAGGACCTTGGGGGTGGGGGGGTGACAGTGAGGTGCCTACCCAGAGGAGTGGCTGTTTAGGAGAATGGGAACTATCAGGGTGCCAGGAGGGGGAGTGACTGGTAAACCCAGGGGAATATCTGCACATCAGTCAGATCTTGGTAGGGAGAAAGGACAAGGAAAGCAAACAAGGGGACTGTGGAATGGTTACACTTTTTACTCTCAAGAGCGAAACCCACTGGGAGAGACAAAAATCTCAGTCAAAGCCACTTGCTAATATTCCAACCCCTAGTTCCATGAAAATAAAAACTTACTTTATGGTGATGATGCTATAATGGGGGGAGGGCATGAAGAAAGAGTGGATGTGAGGTGTCTTCCTTCTCTTTTGCTGCTGTAACGAATTTCTACAAATGTCCTGGCTTACAACAAGATAAATGTATTCTCTTACTATTCTGGAGGTCATTTGTCTAAAATTGGTCTCAGCCGGCCAACATCGAGGTGCTTGTAAGGCTACCTTCCTGCAAACAGAAGAAATTCTGGGGAGGGAGCTCTGGCTTTGTCTCTTCCACTTCTAGAGGAGTCTGCAGCCCCAGACCGCCGCCCCTGTCTCCACCTTCAAAGCCAGGGGCACAGCATGTTCAAATCTCTCTCTCTCCAATCAAACTTCTCTTCTGCTTCCTTCTTCTGCTTTTAAGGACCCTCCTTCCACTTTTAAGGACTCTGTGATTACACTGGGCCCATCCAGATAATTCAGGATGATCTTCCTGCTCAGGTCATCTGATTAACAGACTTAATTCCATCTGCAGCTGTAATTCCCTCTGCCATGTAGCATAGCGTATCCCCAGGGTCTGGAGGTGTGGGCCTGGATAACTTTGGGAAAGGGACATTGCCCTGCTTCCCACCAGGGGAACCGCATACAGAGTAGGTAGCACCATCCTGAGAAAGGTCTGGAGAGAAGTGTGGGAGGGACTGAGCCACAGATGAAAATGATAGACAAGGAAGGACGGTGACTCGGCCCAACTTGAGCCTCCAGCCTAGGGAAAGATTTCCCTTCCAAGTCCCGTCAATCTACTGTTTCCCCCCCTGGCTCCAGAAGAGGCTGTGCTGAGTAATAAATCATGTGTCTGCATAACCATCTTGCCTGGGCAGCCTGACTCATCAGCATCACCGCCGGGAAGCAAGTCCCAAAGCCTCCCCGTCCAAGTCTGGCAAGAGACAGTCACTCACTCGTCCTCCCAGGGCTCTGCAGAGGCAGGGAGTGGGGATCCCACTGCTCAGATTGTTCCCCTGTCCTTACCATCATGGGGAAGGGGAGGCAACTGTAGGTCTTATTACTACACCCTTTCTAATGATGAGGAAACTAAAGCATAGAGAAATTCAGAAAACTGTTTCACAGTCAGCTGGTTAGGACATGGAGAAATTGCGATTTGTATCCAGATCTGTCGGACCCGCAAAGCTTCAGTAGGTATTTAAATGCTTACTGTGGATCTGCCATTATTATATCAGATTAAACGCAGATGTAAGACTCAGTAACTCTTCAATAGCTTCCATTTAAGGAAGAAGCTGGTATGTTTCAGACAATTAGAGGAGATACAACAGCATCACTTGTGTATGGATCAGAAAGCCTGGGAGTTGTGGGAGCTCACAGGAATGATAACTAGCCCTGCCCTGTTAGCCGAGAATGTTTTCCATGGAAAGGGACCTCTAAGCTGAGCCATTACATTAGGTGGGATTTATCTAGGGAAAGTGGTTAGGAAAGTTATTCCAATGAGAGGGAAGAGCTCAGGTGAAGATTTAAGAGAGATCACAGGGCAGAGGAGAAACCGCCAGGAGACAGAGAGAGTGATGAACTGGTGGGTCTGGGCTGGACGAAGACAAGAGCGGGGATCAAAGGTCCCTGAATGGTCGGCTGGGTGCTTAGACAGTCTCTCAATGCCTGAGAGCCGGGGAAGGCAAGCGGCAGGGTCCAATCTAATCCAAGTTTTCTAAAGATCATTCTGGCAACCCCAAGGTGGAGTATGAATTTGGGAGCAAGCCTCAGATTACAAAGCTGCCTTAGGTAAATGTGGCTGTAATTCTGGTGTGAGAAGATAAGAGCTTGGATTAGGTGTGGTGGAGAGATACCGAGGAGTGAGTGGCAAGATTTTAAGGACAGAGATTGGTAGCACTCAGGGGAGTTAGATGCTGAGAGTGAAGAAAGCAGACAGCTGTGATGAAATGATGGAAGGAGGCACCAATCACTGAGATCCTGAAGACAAAAGATATTTGGGGCACAGAAGAACAACCTTAATCGCAGGCCATTATGGGTGAGCACTTGCTCTCTGTGGCCTTGGATGTGTCCCTTGACCTCTCCAAGTCCTGGGTTCCTCATTCCTCCAATGGAAATTAATGCATTTCTGAAGTTCTTGGTAGATTGAGATGAGACAGGGTTTCACAGACTCTAAGATGATGGGGAAGGGGGGACCAGATAAAATAGCCATTCAGTGCAGTCAGCTGAACGGAATGGGAGTGCTGTCCTGCTTGGTGGAGAACTTCCTTGTAAGGGCCGGCCTACAGTTCTGGGCCAAGGGGTTCAGCACCTCGGAGAGCGACAGCGCCTGTGGCCTGCAGCTTTCCAGGTCTCCTGGGTGGGTAGGAGGGTCAGCCCTTGAGAACAAATAAGGCTTTGCATAATGGTCTACAAGGTCCCTGTGGCCCAGTCCCCTGCTTGGCACCCTCCAGGCACCTGTCACTCAAGTGTGCAGCCAAAGGGAAGAAGCTTGATGGCAAGAAAGGCTGATGTTGGTGTGAAAAATGACAGAATATTCATCAGCTTGCGATTACCATTTCAGAGGTGTTTGCTGTCCTCCAGCCCCAGGTCCCTCTAGGCAGTGCTCAGAACAGATGTAGTTTCACCCGGGACAGCACACAGAGAGGAAGCTGTCAGGCCAGCCCAGCCCCCTCAAGTTCACTTCCTCCCATTGTCTTCTGACCCTCACTATCTACCATGAGGACTCAAGGGGTGGGATTCCAAGCCCCAGTTTACAACGTAGGAAAATGAAACTCTTAGAAGGAAATCAGTTGACCAAGGTCACCGTGGTGAGAATTCAGAAAACTCCCAGCCTTGAATCTGGGACTGTGGGCTCCTGGTCCTGCCTGCCTCTTTCCTCTACCTGTGTGTTTATTCACTCACCTTTTCATCGTATTTCAACACATGCACCAAGCATTGGGCTAGAACTATGCCAAAGCATCACATAGAGAAGTGATAGATACACATAGGAGGAAGGGCACAGTCAAGGGGTGGTAGCATGTTAGAAGAAGCAGAGACTTCACATTAAGGTCCAGGTCTGCTTCTTTCTGCCTGTGTGAACTTGGGCAAGACAATTCTCACTGAGTCTCAGTGTCCTCATCTGTAAGATGGGTATAATACCCACATTTCCCATCAGGCCTGTTTTGAGGGTTTAACAATGGTATCTTTGTATTAAGTTTCTAGTAAACTGCCTGACACATAACTAACACTCAATACAAATATGTTAAGTGAAATAACTTTTTAAAAAAGCTTCACAGGGAAGGGAACTTTCGAACTTGGTGGTGAGAGTAAAGAGTAATCATTTCATATTTGCATGTGGTCCCAAACAAATAACTCCAAAACCCAACGCCTTAAAGAAGAATTATTTTTCCCTAAAACCCAGATAGTTCTGGGGAAGAATTTGTGATCCTTTGGACAGTGCAGCTCATCACCTGTGCCATGACTATAGAACGACTGTGGTTTAGCTGATTACAAAGGAAGGAATATTTCTCTGTAGGAAGATAGGATGGTGGATGCCGTCCAGAGAGCCTGTCTTCTCCCACAGTCTGTGCTTCCTCTTACACTGCAGGGGCGAGACTCTGTCTGACATCTATGCTTTGGTCCCAGGAGAAAGAGACTTGAGAACTGGTGGCAGCTCCCTCGCACAGGAGATGCCTGGCAGACAGGGCAATTAAGACTCATTCATTTCTTCATTTTAAAGCAGTAGTAACATTGTCCCGAGGGCAACTGTTCTGCCTCAACTTTGATTCACCAGAGGTGAATGTATCTAATATGTATTTACTGTTATTTTTTAGGCGTGAGATGCTAATGATTAAGTGATGCCTGGATTCTGGCCTCCAGAAGTTTCCCCTGTAGTGGAGGAGGTCATCTGTAGTGGACTGTAGTGGATTGCTCAGAATATTCACGGGCTTTCCCTGAAAGAGGGGCATGGCTTGAGCTTAAAGACGACTTTTCCAATAAAATATGAACAAAGGTGATGGGTCTCTTTTGAGAAGAAGCTCAAAAGGTATTATGTGGTTTCCCTACCTCTGTTTTTCCTCTTCTGCAGATGTTTTGTTTGTTGTTGTTATTGTTGGAGACAGAATCTCCCTCTGTTGCCACTGGATAGAGTGCCGTGGAGTCATCAGACTCCTCAAACTCCTAGGCTCAAGTGATTCTCCTGCCTCAGCCTCCCAAGTAGCTGGTACCACGGCACTCCTCACCACATCTGCTACTTTTTCTATTTTTGGTAGACGTGGGGGTCTTGCTCTTGTTCAGGCTGATCTCAAACTCCTGAGCTCAAACAATTCTCCAGTCTCAGCCTCCCAGAGTGCTAAGATTATAGGCATGAGCCACCATGCCAGCCTCCCCAGGTCATTTACTTTTTGAAGTAAATTTTCTGCATTATCTCGTCACCAACCTTGTTCGTGGTGTCCTCTGATCTGGTCAGCCTCATTAAGTGATCAACTACGGGACAGCATTTAGCTTTTAATGCTGAGGGCTAGAGATGCATTTGTGAGGATTAGCGAGCTCTTCAGTTTTCAAGAAGCACTAGTTTAGACCAAATAAAAGCATC